AACCTGGTGACCTTTCCTGGTAGGTAGAAAACATATGGAAAGAAAGTACTTGAGGCAATCGAAGAGAAAATAAAGTCATAAGAATAAAAACTTTCAATAAGGTATAAAAATGAGACGTACCTTCAACACTATCTGAGGTCGGACACCTCGTACGTGACGGACCCGCACCCGATCACCCCATTCCGAAGCCATGTTGTCGTGAACAAACGCTTAAACAATGAGCTGATTCAGATTACCATTACTATGATGGTAAAGAAACACCAGTAATGCGCATAATTAAGTTGGAAAGGAAGCTTTCAACGAAGGACAATATAGGATAGCACACGGGCTGCAAATTCGGGAATCAAAATATGATTGAGAAGCACACAATCGTAAGAAAGAGGTGCAACAATTTTCAACAATATCTGCTAAAATTATCTATAGACCTCGAATGAAATTAGCCACAAATATGCCCACATGGCTGATTTTCCAATCAGAGAATAAGCTCACCCTTCTGAGCGCGTTGATATTTTACCTAATCTCTAACGCTCACCAGCGCCAGAGTCCAAAATGGTCTAGTACACCGAAACACTACATTGCAAACGTATGTAGTGTCCTTCCCGAGAGTTTCAAAATCTGTAGTCACCATCCCTTCGCTTTGGCAGCTGTAGAAGCTATTGACGCTCTTGACGCGAGCGTATAGGGGATTCGAACTCTCAACAACTCGTCTGATATGAATCTCTAACTATGCTGAACACTATTCCCGAATTTGCCACTCTTGTCCATAGAAAGTGTATGTACTGAAATGCGATATGGGAAGTAGTCCGGATAGCCTCAAGCTGATCACACGCAGACTGATTCCACAAGCCCATAAAAAATGTATAGAAAAAACAACCGCTTCGTTGTAGAGAGCACGCGAATGGGCGCGCCCACAAACAGAACGCGAGCATCTATCCGTGAGGTGCTTTACTCTTTAGAAAGGAGAAGACGGCGGAGTCATAGAACCACATGTCCAGTTGTAGAAACCCTTGTCCAGATGCTTCCTACGCTCTTGTAAACAGGAGACAATCCATCACAAAACGTAAAACGCCAACTCAAATGAAAGACACTTGTAGACATGAGACAGCAAAAAATTCCCATAAAATAAAATACTCGATTTATTGTTAAATGCAAATGTTCATGCCGCCTGCAGTAATCCAATTTTTTTAAGAAAAGGAAGCTCTGAGTGAAAAACCGAGAGGAAAGCTAGTTAACGCAATCGTAGAATCGTCCTCTCACAGGAACTGCCGCAGGCGAGATGATCTATTGCACTACATGCCCCTTTATGACATTTATATATACAAAATCGGCGTACTCAAAATCATTAATTACGTGCCCCCTTGGACACCCTATACAAATCGTGCAATCACAAGATGGCTTAAATGAAAAGAGCAAGCAAGGAAAGAAGAGCCTTAAAGAAAACTCGTAATTAAAATAGAGCTCACCTTGAACTTGTGGAAATCGACCAAGGTTGCACTCACAGACCTCTATGTGGGCAAGAGGGAATTTCTAAATAATTTCGTCACGATAAGTAGTAGCGTCACAGCAGCGATTCAATTTTCAACAAAATGTTGAATGAGTTCCAAAACACTACTGCAAGAGAGCTCTGTACCCCTCGCACAGTGGTTCCCTTACTTCTTTCACACTTTACGGCGTGGCCAGTGACACGGGATGAGTCGGGCAAGTGATTACGCACATTTATTCTGAACGCCCCTTAACGCAGCCACCCGCAACAGAGGAAGGAGCACCGACTCGTGCACGCCACAGCCACGCCTTTAGATGCGAAAAAAGTCACGGGGCCTCGCACAGCGATTTCCAATTAACCGAAACGTGTTTCGGTGCGCAAAGCATTATTCACAAAGCAGTGAATGAAGAATTCGTGAGAAGTGTTACACATGGAAAAAAATCTCGCATTAGACTTCATAAGCCTACAGTATTTGTGCAGTCCAATG